AGAAAATGTTTTTAAATTTTCCTAAAAAAACATGACTTCTTAAGCCCAATAATAAAACTATATAGCTTTATATCTAATTTATTCCATTCTATTAAAGTGTTGATTCACTTGCTGGCTAATAATTAACTTAAAATAATTGTTTTAGTGTTGCTTATTTGATATTTTTTATAACATTTCATTATCTAATTACAATAAAAGCATTTTTTAAAGCAAAGACTTTCTTTAAAAATTTGAACTGAAACTAACTTATAATGTTAAGGTTAATTATCATGCCAATTTACTTTAAAATTATGCTCGATCCAATTTCAAGAATATGATATTAACATTCTCTGTTTGAATAAATTGTTGGAAATGGCATACTAAATGACATTATCATAAAAATGTCCCATTAACAAAAACAAACAGCTGTTGGACATTTGTCAGAGCAGTAAAAAGTAAAAAAAAAACCCATTTAAAACATTATAATTACTATCTATAAAATGTTTATGAAATGCAAATATAATAATCATATACAAAAAATGGTTAAAATATAATCATCTTTCTAAATCAAATATCTGTTGCATGTTTGCCATAGCAGCAAAAAGAAAAATCAACAATTTAAAACATTGAGATTACCATCTATAAAATGTTTATGAAATGCTAATGTAATATCCACATATATTAAATGATTAAAAATAATCGTCTTTCTAAGCCTCTTACTGGTTTGTAGTACTGTTCATAATAATCAGACAAGAGTGATCATCTGTGAGGTTAACACTAACAAACCATCAATCTAACATTCTTACATTAAGCATTGTATTTCAAGCGACATTAATACATTCACAAATATCTTGTTTCTTCAATTCACTTGATTACTATTATCATTCTTATTATTATAGTACATATTGTTTTTGTATAGCATTTTATTCCTATATAGGTCATGCAGGATAATTCTTACTTAAATAATTGAAAACTTAAATGGTTTAAATAATTTACAGAGAGAAATCTAACATCCACAATTTATTAATGTGTTTCGTTTATTATTATAATTGTGTTATTATATAATTATTACTATATATTTTATTATTAGTTAGTAGGTTAGTTTGTAAAATAGAATATTCCCGTTATCTAAACAAATCTACAACTGAGTTGTATGTTGTTTATTTTTAGATAATATTTAAGATGTAATATTTTTGAATCTGTCTCATAATCAAATATAAATTAATAATATTCTCATTATGAAGTCTCTTTGAATCTCTTTATCATTATGATTACCCTACAATTATGAATATTATTTTGAGTACCCTTTAGTACTATTTAAATATACAGTAAAAGCGGAAATAGATTTAGGCCTTGGCAAAGTACAAGTTTAAAATAAAAATACAAATTATATACTTACAGAAAAAAATTGATTAAAATGTATTATCCAAAATTGAAGGATAGTCCAGTAAGGAAGATGTCATATGGACCCAAGACAAAACGAAATAGTTTTTCTGATAACGGACAACTACACTAATCTGTAAGACCCACAAGCATCTCAGTCACAAACACAACTGATTGGCTGATGGTATATCACATGATGCAGTGAGAATATTTACCTCAATCATTACGGATGACAGAAGATGGGTAGAGTTCCAGCAGAAATATGTACCATAATGGGAAGGTAAAATCTAAGCTACAAAATCAATAACAACCAAGTTCAAACCGTATTAATTATATTTTCTCCCCTGACAGAGTGCTTAAGTGATTATATTTCTTTGATTTTCTGGAACAAAATATCTCAAACACATTTTTTTTCATTTGCAATAAAGTTTCAAGCTTTAAACAGATACGAAATCTGTAATTTTTCAGTTTAAATATATGATGTTGTGAACGATGGGCTATTTGTATATAACATGTCCAGATGAAAGGAATGCTATCTATTCACAATGAATCATTATGAATAAATGGTACTATGGCATTTGAAGTACCATTTATACTATACATGTTATTTCCAGGGACCTCATACATTTCAGATTAGACTTAGAGGGAGGGGTTTTCTCATAAAACAGAGGGAGGGATCATCTTGGTCGTTACAAGAAAGCTAAATGATTGAATATATAATATACATTAAATGTAATGTAAAAATAAACAATGAATACACAGTTTTTAAATAAAAGGCCAAAATAAAAATAAAATGTATGTTTCTCATCTTCTCCCTCATTCTTTTTGGGCCCTCGCTCCCCCTCCCATCCATAATTTTTAAAGTCAGGCTCCGGAGGAAAACAATTTTTTGATATGTTGTAGAACTGATTTTTCTAAGACAGAAAAAAAGTTGTTTGACGAAAAACTGGGGAGCAGTGAATGAGATACAGATTTTTTAATATTTAAAAACTTGGGGAATAAGGTGTAAAAATGGGCAGTTACGCCCCTTTTTCCCCCAGTCCCACCTCTCAAACAGTGAAATTTGGAAATCATAATCAGTCTCTTGGTCAAAAAAATAACTATTTAAATATTTTTCTATTTAGTCAAAGCCTAATTCTTAATAAAATGGTAACCACACTAAGTTATGGTATCAAATTTGATAAAATGGCAAAACATTATGTTCGTACATAGTTAAAAAAACAAGGGGTATCTACTTGTACATTAATTAATGTATACATAATAAAAACTTGGAAGCTTGCTTAGAAGCAAAAGATAGAAACTTAGCCCAAGATACTACTGGTGTTGATACTGTGGATAGGGCCTAGCTTGCCACACGATCACCTGCCGAGAAGAATGTCGACCCACTGGGCATGGACATACAAATTATATACCTGGGCCAACGAGTTGACTGAAAATGAAATCCTTCTCAATTTCTCAAATATTTTTCCTTTAAATATCTTTGTATCAAAAATAATAATAACACCTAGACTTTTGTCAAGAATTCTCTTTGAAGAAAAAGAATAACAAATGTCACATTTATCCATCATCCCTATGCTGTTTAGAGTTGTATAATATGAAATGAAATCCTATAAATGGTATAGGATATAAACATATACAGTATAAGATAGATTAATACTATACGTCAGCATTTAGAGTGATTATTCTCCTTTCCAATTTCTTTCACTTTTTCATGTCAGCTTTAGATTAATGTTCTTTGTGCATTACCCTAGTGAAATGCATAATATCAAAATACCAATTGTAGATTTTACGACGACGATGATGTAATGATGTCTTATTAAACATGCAATTTATCATATTATTTTTTATATATATTATTCATAAAATATACTGATTTTCTGCCCATGTTCAATATTAATATCCCATGATTTATTTCTATACAAAAAAGTAGATCACAGGAAAAATAATTATATTATAAATTGAAAGGTAATCATATAGCTTGTAGTTTCATTAAGCTATTTTATGAGGTAAGTTCTCGGAATTGTATGTTATAATAATTATAATGAGAAAAAACTTGATACCCACGCCAATACAAATCACAAATAAGCAAATAATTTGTTGTACATTAACATTATAATAACAGTAAATCAGAAGAAATACGTGCATTGAAGAACGCCTGCGTGGGTTTGTACATGGGGCGTGCGACAGTGCATTTCACTGTGTGTAACAAAAAGGTTTCTTTATACCATGTTTATACAATGTACAAATCTTTGTGTCTCCTGCTAATGTCTTATGAATATTCATGACCTAGTGAATGTAAGCAAAACACTACCTCTAGGCCCTGTATATACAGTGAATACATTGATATTGAAAATTCATTACTGTTATAATTTATAAGAAGGGAAATCACATCATGTATTCTGAACAGATAAGAAGAACAATTTATGTTTTAATAATAAAACAGAAAACATAAAAACAAACACAAGACAGTGATTGAAAATAAACATTTAAGATATATCTCATATACACTTTAAATAATTAAACACCATAGATGATAGCATTTAACCTATAGAGAAAGAAAATCTGCTAAGAATTGTTAGGAAATAATGGCTTAGTTGGCACAGAGCCTTTCGAACCATGGTTTCTGGTTCAATTCTATCACTGCCTCCTTCTGATTCATGAGGGGATTTTCTCTCTGTGTACTGCAACTATTTCACCAAAACTGCAAATAAGTTTTTGAATCTATCCTTGGTGTTTCACACATTGAAGCAGTCTAAATCCTTATCTTCATCAACATCACTATCATTAATCACAATCATAATGCAAGGGCGGATTTTTGGAAGGAAAAAAAGGGGTAAAAAAGAAAGAAGAAAAAAATGATCGGCCAAAATGCCTCAGGTTATTTTAGGGCATCTTGAACACAAAAATTCCGGACCCCCTGATAGTAGTATTATCTCGATCGGTCCAACTTTTGGGCCCTCCCCCCCTTTTATTGGACATCTCTGGATCCACCCCTATAATACATAAACAGTTTCAATTTCATGTTTTTTCTCAGCATTGACATTGTCACCATATTATTACTATCAAAATAATAATAATAATAATATGTTAAGACTTATATAGCACTTAATGCCAACAAGGCCTCTCTAGCACTTCACATTATTACTTCCAGTAATTGGATCAAGCACATATTCCGGTCAATGAGGAGAATATCATAATGTTGCTTCTGTAATCAGCGCATTTTGTGTTTGAGTCTACCAGGTACCCTCTTGTACTCCTGGGAGGAAAGAGACACTTGCAGGTGAAGTCACTTTCCTAAGAACACAAGCGAAATTGCAAAGCGAGGAATTGAACCTCCGACCTCAAGGTTGAGAACGAGAACCACAACCGCAGCATCAAACCGCTCCTACATCATCACAATTGTTATCATCATTGTTGTTCTCATCTTTGCTATTGCTCCGCATTTGTTGCTGTGTCTCTGCTGTAATTGTCACCACCACCAACTTCATCATCATTATACCATCATTCTCAACATCACTATCAATCATCATCACTCAAATAATCATCACCCTATCATTTTAATATCATAATTTATATCACCCTCTACATTATCAATGTGCTAGAATTGTTGCATTACAAACATTAAATACAAAACTCACATTTATCATCCTCCATGTTCGACCCTGAACAGGAAGTTGACCCATCAAAGTAGCTGTCCAATGATGAGCTTTCTGATGTCCGTTTTGTGTATTCAATTTGCTCTTTGAGGGGCTTAACTTCATCCAAGATCTCTCCACTGTCCCGTCTGTTGAGTCTTGATTCGTACTTTATTTGTGGTGTGGGTATAGTTTGCGGAGTTTGTGGGTAGATTTGTCCTTCGTCGCTATGGATAGACGTCCTCACAGATTCATGGCTGGGGATTGGTGCATAGTCTGAACTGACTTGACTCAGTGTATCAAACTATTAACGAAAATTAAAACAAAATTTCAACTTATCCAAATTACAGTATATTTTTAAAGTATTTTTATCACATGATATTGTATTTTATGGTTAAGTAAAGTTTTATACCATATGTATGGAACTATGCTTGTTTCAATTGTGCATAAGTAATATAAATATAACAATTAACAATAATAATATAATAATAATAATAATGACAACAATAATAATAAAAGAATTAAGCCCGCTCTTAATTTTTAAGTTTACTTATTTTACTTGCTTAACATGGCTCAAGTAGCATTAAATAAATGAATCTTGAATAATACTGATGATGCAAATGATAATGAACGATGATGGTAATAACTAAAACAATAAATAATCAACTATATTTAAAAATGAAAATGCCTTTATTCAGCCAATCTAATCTAACCATGAAGCCATGTTCCAGAGGAAAAATATTCTTTTTGTGCCTTAGGAAAATCACTTTTAATATATAACATATAAATCTTTCTGTTTCTTCCATAGCCTGGCTTTAACATGATTTAATGTAAAACATAAAAATTCAGCATAGGTACCAACATAAGTTACATTATGTGCAAAACACTTATGTAGTCTTTAGCCATTTCCATTACTATCTTGAAAGATTTAGTGCATATTGTAAAGCAATATCATACTGCTATTCACATAGCTGCTCCCCTATTATTGAAACGTCTTTCCTTATAATCTCTTTTGGGTAAATTCTTCAGTAATCCCTACATTACAAAGATCATGAAGATGCTAAATATACTTTTGAATAAATAAACTGCATTCTCAAATGTTGATTTAATATATGGAAATTTAGAAGTGTAATTTCTCCTTAGGTCGACTCTCGAGGAGTTACGAATAATAACCTAAAAATAACCAATTCACGTCACTGCCATTTGCTAATGAAATGAGAAATAAATTATCACTAGACGGATAAATTCAGAAGACAAATTGAGAGAAAAATTTAAATAAAGCAATTTTTAAAAATAAAGTGTCAATTTTATAACCGGCTCAGATGCCACAGACGCAGAAATTACCGGATAAAACAAACATTAGTTTATAATTAATTAAACGGCTTGTTCAGTATCTTTTTATACCTACTCACATCCTAAATGAAGTAGATTTGCCCATTAATATAGCATACATCCTACTGTTAAGCTTTATTATGAGGCATAGGGTGGGATTTGAACCCCGGAGCACGAGGACTTAAACCCAAAATAACAAGGACTTGAACCCAGGACCACAAAATTATTAGCTAACATTTTAAGCACAAACTACAGCTTCACTTACTTAAACAAGCTAAAGAATTTTGGTATATTTTATTGGCCTTGGAGAGCATTTTATATTAAAAAATACACATGAAATGAAAAAATATTATTGTAGGCCAAAAGCGCATTAACTGTTCTTGGTACAATGTGGTATATCAAATTTATTATTAATATAAACTCACTGGATTATTAATCTTTACTAAAGTATTATAAACATGATATCGTATATCAACGTTAGTAATATAACCTAATCATCAAATTGGAGACTCATTATGCAAGCCTCCTATTCACAATATGCAAGAAAACTTGGATTGAAATTTAATGTCACTTGTGATTTTAATAAGACACAGGCTAGGTCATAGTTCATCGATGAATCGTCAGAGATTAAAAATAGCTTACAGAGTAATTTTAATGCATATCATGGGCTGCCAATGTGAACATGATGAGACGATTCTGTAATTATCATAAGAAATCCTTAGAGTAAAATTTTGAAAAATAAAATCGTTGATATTTATTTCAACTGTCAGAACAAAATAGCAATTTATATTTTGAATTTTAATATAAAATTCCAGTAATTCAAAGCAAAAGCTATTTTTGAAATGCAGATGTTTAGACAGGCAAAAAGTAAAATATAATTAATGGAAAATGGAAGTAAAATATAACAGAAAATGAGATGCAAGAAAACTGAATTTTGTGATTTTAGTTATAGTTATTTTAATTGTATGTGTATATGTTCTATTATGACACATTAACATTATCATTTAGTTTCCATTATTTTAATACATTTCTTAAATTGTCTATGTTTAATTTCCCATTCTTTCAAAAACACAGATCTAAAGAACTGGAGAGACTGGGTCAACTAAAAGGAATTTAAGATCTGTAGCAATACCAGGTGGTCTTAGTTACCAAGAACATATTACATATTAACAAATCAATGTATTTAACACCATTTTACTGAAATTCGCTTCTTCAAAAAAAAAAACAAAAAAAAAACATCACAAATTCATTAGTACTTTATACTAATCTAAGTTCATGTATTCACTTCCATAAAAATATTCAATACTTCATATTCACAGCAAATTTCACCCTTAACATACAATGAAATCTATGAAAATTACCAGAAACTTTTCTCTGACGACGTATTATACAAGTATGATTTGAACATATCAAGCCATGTAAATGTACCATGATTAAAGGATACAAAAGGCTCAACTAGACAAATAATCAGCCTTCCATATTTGGTGTAATTATTTCCTACGGGTATTCCAAACCTTACACTACTGTTGCTTAACTTGCCTTAGATGATGAGGGCACGATCAGGTGGATAATATTTTCATCTACCTACAGGTATGTCCATCCACATGTGCACAGAGTGGATCTATTAATTAGTAACAACCAGAGTAATTAGTATGTAAACAGAAGGCGACAAACCGGAGAAAACAGCAAAATGACTTTGTTCAGAAAATATTGGCTCCATCGGTAGACAGTAACAGAAGATATATTAACATAATCACTATTAAAGACATCACTAACGAAGAATCGCCCAAAGTCTTGAAATTCAATAATGACAACACTCACTCTTTCCGTGCCTACACTGAGGCTCTTCAATTTCTTCTCTTCAGGTTATACCTCTGATTTAAGAAAGTAAATGTGATTGGCTAAGAGCTTATCATCTAGAAAATCTTCAACAGAATCACCCAATCATAATTCAACTTGAATGACTATTCTCTCAAGGGATGAACAGACTATTAAGAATAAACCAAAAGCCTTAGAAGCAGGATTGCAAAATTAATAGACTAAAATACCCAACAAAAATGTTGCTAGCACGGAGCTGCTAATTGAAATGCATAAAAAATGTGGCTACCCCTTGCATGCAGAGCATAATCTAGGAAGTTCATTACAAAAATCATATTCTTATCTGAAGTATATTTATAGTTTACAAGGTAATAAATATCACTCCTACACCAATTTCCTTTTAATATGTAAGCTTAACTAATCCTATGCATAGCATCATTATCTTATCTTGTCTTCTCGTTGATGTATCCTAAAATTAATATTATAAATAAATGTACAAGCATTGTTGGTATATTTAAAGATGTATTATTTTCCAATTTAATTGTTGAATTGGAATATTTTGTTCATAATAACTACTACAATTTTCTCATCACTTGTGTTTTAAAGTAAAAACATATTAAAATAGTTTTTAGGTTATTGAGCATATCTGCTTAATAAGGAGATCTGTCAGAGCATACTCTGCATGAAAATGTTATTCAAGTTTGTAAATAACAAATATTATGTCCCGGAAACCATGTAGATGTCATGTTGTTCAAACAAATGTTTAATGAAAATATTTTGTTAGCGCTGCAAATAATAATGTAATTCAAGTGTTTATTAATTTAATCTCATCTTGGCAATTGCATTAAACTGTAAACTGAATGGATAGGTAAACCTTTACACATATCTGGCATACTTTTATTTCAGGCCAGTATTCATGATACTGGCACAGTGTTCAGGAGCTTGCTTGCCTGCATTAAACAGTTGTTGCATGCTGAGGCCTTAGCAATGTGTAATTGCGTTGCAGTCAACCTATGATTTACATTCAACTCAGTAAATTGGTTGTAATATGGGAGATTGATGGACAAACCGTTCAGCCCAAAGTATTACCATGACTGTCTAAGAAACACGTTCAGACAATGAAAATAAGAGAGCTTTATAAATGATAGCAGCATATAGTTGTAATCAATAACTCTGTGATCAATTGACAAAGGTCAGAATGTATCGGTGACCTCTAGTAAGAGTAAGCTTCTTTACATGATCGCTAGGCACATAGATATTCAATTCAATCTTTATCTATTTCATCATAAAATAATTAATGAAATTGGATCTTATAGAGGTTGTACAGTAATAAGTCCACTGGAAATTAACATTTTTTTATTCAAATACATTAAAATCATTAATTTAAAATTTAAATAAATTAAAAAGAGACAATAGAAATCATGATTTCTGTGAAACTACTACGATGTTGGTAAAATCCATGTGTAAAAATTAACAATTTCAAATAGAAATTACTTAGACATTTTCTGTCTAGTAATAGGTAACCAACTTAATTGGTGGAGAATCATCTGACGCCGCTACAACCCCCGACGCAGCCGGCAACGAACCCTGAGATCGAGGGGCTGCCTGAGCTGCCGCAAACTTGGTAGGGGGCCAGCGCGCGCAAACCTCGCAAGGCTCCGCTTTGCTACACGCTTCGAGTGTCGATCGAGCTTGACACTCGGTTTGGGGCCCCACACGCCGAGCACAACGACTTGTGCGCGGACATAGTGAAGAGACCACCAACAGCTACAAAAAAAGGATATGTCGTATAATCAACTTCTTGAAAACAAAATCCAAGGCAGAAAAATAAAATTCCAGAATCCAGCAACTTCTTGAAAATAAAATCCAAGGCTGAAAATCCTTATCGCAGTAGCGAACATGTGGTACTACTCAATGATTTAGCACTCTAAAGGAGGTTTACTTTCAAGGGACGTTGAAAAGGGAATGAGGGCGGTTGTTAGGGAGACGGTTCGTACGTGGCGCCCTGGGTCGGACTGTTCCATTTATTTCGAAGGGGTGTTCCGTTTGGGAACAATGGCAATTAGTCAGTTTATCCAGGTAAGTATTCACGAAATAAACATCATGTTTTCTGTAAAACTACTACGATGTTGGTAAAATCCATGTGTAAAAATC